TCAGTTCAATTCGGGGTTGGGACTCCCTCTCCCAACCTTCGATGGGGCGCCTCTGGTGCCAGCATCGAGGGTTAGGAGTTTGGGTGTGCTCCTGGACTTCTCTTTAATGATAGAGGCCCAGGTGGCAGCCACTGCCAAGTCGGCCTTTTATCATCTTCGTCTGGCTCAGCAGTTGGTTCCCTTCCTTGACCGCAATGACTTGGCCACGGTGATCCATGTGACGGTCACCTTGAAGCTGGACTACTGTAACGCTCGCTACTTGGGGCTGCCTTTGTCGCAAATCCGGAAGCTGCAGCTAGTGCAGAATGCGGCAGCTAGGCTGTTGATGGGTCTCTCTAGGCGAGACCGTATCCGGCTTGTGCTGAAGGCGCTGCACTGGCTGCCAATAGCATACCGGATTCACTTCAAAGTGCTGGTTCTTACCTTTAAAGCCCTCTATGGCCATGGTCTGGCATACCTTAGGGACCGCCTTTCCCCATATGTTCCCCCAAGGGCACTACGGTCGGGGGACCAACATCTTTTTGGTTACCCCAAGAACGTCAAACTCGCTGTGACCAGGGCTAGGGCCTTTTCGGTGGTGGCTCCTAGCTGGTGGAATGAGCTCCTGGAGGAGATCCGGGCCCTGCGGGACCTTCTGCAGTTCCACAGGGCCTGCAAGATGGAGCTCTTCCGCCAGGCTTTCGAGTAGGATCCACCGCCGCCACTGTACCACGACTGCACCGCTACTGCAAAAGGTGGGGATGCCATCGGGGTGCATGATGGCCCTGGGCCGAAGGTCAGAAGGCAGTGTTGTCTTGGAACTTGCTTCGTTCTTCTGGGTCCATCTTCCAGAACACATCTTGGAATTATGAACTTTCAGAGCACCAGCACTTTATTGTAATTTTGTATTGTTTTATTCTGCTTTTAATTGTTTTATCCTGGCTTTGTGCCATTATTGTTAGCTGCCCTGAGCCACATAGAATAAATGTCAGATGTTTGAGAGCCATGAGACATGAACAAATATTACACACACACATTGGAAAATATGCAAATTTACTATTTATTAACATTAAATGAGACTGCCAAAAACAAAAGGAATAATAGATATTGATAATGATATTTATTTGCCCAATGTGAGGGTGGGGGGAGGGGAGAAAGTGAGAAAGGAAGGAAGGAAGGAAGGAAGGAAGGAAGGAAGGAAGGAAGGAAGGAAGGAAGGAAGGAAGGCAAATAGATAGGGGAGGGAGGGAGAGGTGGAAAGCAAGCAACTTTAACTTTAAATGCATCCTCCAAGCCCCCCATGTCAGCTAGCTTGGCTTGGAGAAGGGATTTAAAGAGACAAATGCCTTCTCCCAGCTGGCCAATGGAGGGGGCGCTTTGAGAATGCAATTAAAGTTGCTTGTTTTCTCTGCTCCTCCCCATCTCAAGCCTACCCAGGGAGGGGAACACTGGCTGGGGAAGGCATAGTAGCATATCAGAATTGTGTGTTTTGTTTTAACACTGTGTTTTTCCATGTTTACTCAACCTTGCCATGTTTCCTGTGTGTTTGTTGCCAAACCTCCAGTGGCAAGTGAATGAGTCCCTTATTTAGTTATACAGTACTGGGGCATCCTTGTAGCCATTCTGCTAAACCCCCATTGTCGTTCCCAGCCAGGTACATTCACCAGTACACCAGGCAGGATGTACCATGAGCAAACATGTCTAACACTACAAAGCTATCTCACTAGTCATCAGCAGATTGGTCCACTTTAGCCTCCCCCTCTCCATCCAGAAAGGCCCTTATTTTAGGGATAGCTGGGGGCACTGCTAATTGCCCGGCTAGGAATTGCAATGGGTACAAGCAAGAGGGATCAGCTGAATATCTATGGGAATCTGCTTTTCATATGCATAGCCATGAGCAGGAAGGGAAGACTTTTGTCCTGCATTAATACATTCTTTATTTCTACTGAGTTTGGGAAAAGGTGGAGACAGGTACCATGTGATACTTCTTTAGAATCTGGAAAGGAGAAAATTGAACAGGATCTGTTATATGAGTCTTTCAAAAGTGTTAACGTTAGAGATACATCAATTTCCCTGCTCCTTTATTCAAGGTCCTTACAGATATACTTATCCCTGCAACTATGCAAGAAATGCCAGAAAGGTAAGTGATTATCTACATATGATGTTTGAAATGTAAAGATGAGCACTGTGATAACTGATAGCTAAACCCCCCTCATCTTTGTCACTTATTTTTAATATAAAATGCCAATTTTCTAAAATTTTCAGATGTGCCTGATGGCAGCAGCCCAGCTTCCAGCTTGACTGGGCAGCAAAATTATGTGTGGTTACAATTTATACGTGGGCATTGTATGAGATGGTTAAATATTTTTGTAATGGAAGCTTTAAATTTGCAACTATAACTTTCAATAAAGTTGGTTAGTGAATCACAGGCAAATGGAGTTTTGTTTCTGGGTTTTGGGTTTTTTTTTTTTGCTTTTTCACATTCCGTTTTTTCGACATGATTCAGCAACAGCAATCCAACTGAGGGGTGTGCACTTCAAACATTTCATTTCAGGGAGGGCAAGCTTTTTGTTATCCTGAATTTTCAGGAATGTGGTTACCAGTACAAGATTCTGTTTGGGACACATTTTTTGGATTTGGGAATTTCAGGACATTATTTTTGCCATCCCCCCATATTTCTATCCCAGAGGCAGGAGGAGTGGGGAGAGAGGGAGAAAGAAAGAGGAGGTGCATTTTGGCAAACAGCTATTTGGTACACATGTGCTCTTTAAATTTTAAAAGGCCATTATTTTCTATTGGAAGACCTGACCTTTGGACTCCAGAGACCAGATCTACTGCGCCCCCAGCTCTTTGACAGTGCAGGTGCACTTTAAATTTTAAAAGGTAACTGTTTTCTATGGGGAATAGATCTGGCCTCTGGAGTTCAGAGGCAAGGTCTTCACGCAGAAACTAAGGACTCTTAAAAATTCATAGGGCACAGCAGTTTGTTGGGGTAGGGATTTCCCTGAACTGATCCAAAACAGCTAATTTGGGTTTCAGTTTTGGCTTAGGTATATACAAATGCATATCTCTACAACCCAGTTGTGGAGTACAAAAAGGTGCTGTCCTTTGACTCATTCTTGTTGCTTGATCACTTTTTGAGCCCCCAGGACTATGCACCAAATGCCCTTTGTTAGAATGGCACACGCAGCACCGAACAAGCTGTTAGTAATTTTGATAATTCTGACTCCCAGTAAAGGAAGAGGGGATGGCTGTTTCCCTTGCAATCAGGCAGTAGCAACTATCTAAATGTACATAACTTTGAGTGTGAGATCCTTGGGTCAGAATAATTGCCTATACATTGCTTTTCTGTGGTTTTGGTCATCTTGTATGGTAGAGTGGTCAGTTCCCATTCTCTGTGGTTTAACCCCAGCTTACTGTGATATTAATACGATAGCTGAATATTTAATATATTATTGTTGAACAGAATTTCAGCAGCAAGCACCCAATTAACTACAACCAGAATGTCTGAACATTGCAGCAGTGCCATATCTAGCAAGGACAGCTGTTTCTAGGCAGTGGTGTTAACTGTTACGTTCTGCCACTGCATTATCATCCTGGGGTGGCTCACAGGAGAAGCAGTCTGCAATGTCAAACATTTTGTTTTTCACTTTAGAGAATCTGTTATTGTACACCTTCATTTCCCCCCATTTTTCTACTTTATCTTCATGCCCCTTCCCCGACACATTAACTTTGTTGCATGGTGGTTAATGTAACTTCCCAGAACTTGTGCTGTTTCTGCTGGCCTACGCAAGGCAGGGCGTTGACAGCTGACGGGCAAGAACAGTACTTCTCTGAACCTCAGGTACCCTTTCTGATGGATCAAAAAGGCCACAGAGTTGGGTGGGTTCTATCCCTGTCCTCATCAGCTCATCAGCTCCCGAGCTAGGTCAGCAAAGGCAGCTGAAGGAGGAAAAACTTGGACATGAGTTTCATTTCTCCTGATTCTTCTCACCCAATTTAAACTGCTTAATCTCTTTAAAACAGTCAGAAACCAATATAACTAATGTTTGCTTCCTACTTGTTTTTGTTTACAAAAATGAATAGTACTTTTTCATTTTGTGTTTCCATTAGTGAATAAACTAATGCACATCTCTACACAAACACCACTGGTTGTAACATTTGCCACTGGGGGAATCCTTTCTGCCTGTCTTATCAACTTGCAAAGTGTACTTGTTTTTGTATTCTGACCACATGGCCTTTTAGTTCTACCAAGCAGTGAAGTCTGTCGTATGTTGCTTTATCAACTATATGGATCAGGTGATTCCAAAAATTTTATTTTTCTATGCCAGATGATTCTATCACATCTCAGTTCATGAACAGAATCCAAATAGGTTTCTCCCCCCTCCCCTTTTCATTACAGTTTATTGGCAGATATAAGAAATTTTGCTAAAAACTGGGAGCACTGGATTGTTTCATCATTGGAAAATCTGCCAGAAGACCTTACAACAAAAAAATTGCCGATAGCACGAAGATTTGTGTCTTCTCTGAAGCGTCAAACGTCCTTCCTGCACTTAGCCCAGGTAGGACAAGAGAGTCTAGAATAGAGGCCATGACACAGAATGTACAATGTTGTAAACTAAGGGAGATGTCTAGGGAGCTGGTAAAATTGTTCTCACAAAAACTAACGCTCCTATAATATACTCAGGGGTAGTCAGTAATTCTGGGGCTCTGGGAAAGGAATAAAGAATGAAGCCCCAGAATCACTAGATGTAGCGGGTGGGTTGGTTTCCGGGCTGCCTTCCCAGCCATCTGGCACAGAGAATGATGCTATTGGCAAACGACATGGGTTTTTTTTGCTAAAAGATGAGGCATTTCTTTTTTGAGCTTTGTAAGAATTCTTGGGTGTATCCCCAGTGCCCAGACCTGGACTTTATTCATTTTCAGTTAACCTATTAGACCTAGGACTTTTTTGAACACCTCCTTTTGTCTTAATTCACACATTTTGCTTTGGGCAGGGATATAAATGCAATTTTCCACATTTGTTGAAATCTAATGGGAAGATATCCATATGCCACAGGATTTCCAGGGGTCAGTTGTACAGTTACAGGATGTGCTCGAAAGCCGCCTGCCCCATTGGCCAACTCACTGCCTGGTGTCTCCCTGCCACCGCCAGCTGCTGTCTTGCACTGGTGCAGTTGGTGGCCAGAGGCTTCCTCAACCAACTGCCTCACCTGGCCTTGCCTGCCCCTGTCACCAACAAAGAGCCAGCTAGTCACCTATAGGTCATGACTGAGCTGATCCTGTTCATGCCTCTTCTCAGCATCCACTTTGATATAGCTTGTTTTTTTAAAAGGTGTTATTCATGCTGATTACATGATCTCACCAGCCAGTGATCATGTAGCCAGCAGTCCATCATATCCCCCATAGATAATCTGATTTGACTATGTGATAATCTGATTTGGCTATCTGACTATTTTTGCAGGTGTGGTTGAAATATTGCCGGACACAGGCGGTGGATTTGTTTCATGAAACCCATGCCCCACACTGTTTCAATACCACTTTATCATCATGATTATTTATGTGAGGTCAAAATATGTGATTCTGGCCCCGTTCACACGGAGAAGTTGCCACGCTAAAGACACAAATGTCGGGCGGATTTTTGGTGCGCAATCACACCGCAACATCTGGGAAGCGTAGCGCACCCGTGGTGTCCCGCTGAAGATGTGCATTTAAAAAGTACCGTGGAAAGTGCACTAGTATCTGGAAAACGTGGGGCAGGGGCGGGCGTCTGATTGCGGGAATGCTAGTATCCCGTGGCATCCGGCGCCTGTCCACATCCCGTCGCAAACCGGATGTTTTTTGTAAGCGCATGCGCACAAACACATAACTGAAAGCAGTGCTGCTCCGCGGAACTGCGCATGCGCACAAACATGAAACACTTGCCGTGCCGCTTCTTTGCCACGCTCCAGCATCGCCGTGTGATTGCCAACTAACAGCCTAAGCGCAAAGCCTCAGGGGACCGTGTGATCGGGCTACCGTGCTTTATTTTGCTCCGGGGCGAACAGCCACGCCTCCCCTCCGCGTTATCTGGCCCGTGTGACCGGGGCTTACGATTTAAAAATGTGTTATTAGAACTTAAAGGAAAATAGCAATTATTAACATTCCTGATACCCATATTCAGTGCCAATTTTGCACCTATTTCCTGTTGCCCATTCGCAGATTGCCCGGCCAGCTCTTTTTGATCAACATGTAGTGAATGCCATGGTTGCAGATATTGAGAAGGTAGATCTGCACAGCATTGGATCTCAGGCACTTCTCACGGTCTCAGGAAGCATGGACCCTGATGGGGAGGGCTACAGCGAATGTAAGTTCCTGGTCAAATGATAACACAGTGCCAAGTCCCCATGCAAGTGGCATTTTCCTATGTGACCCTAAAAAGCACCCCTCTCATGCTTTTCCTACCCTGTATGAATGCTGGTAAAAATTCATAAGGAAAAAAGTTGAATGTACTTCCTAGCTAATATAGGAAATATTTTGTGATTTAAGCCACTGATTTAAGCCCCACTTGGGAAAATGGACCTTATGTTATAGATATTCATTGCAGACAGCTCGAACTGCAGACAAGCAGGAGCTTTCTAATTTACCACAGTGTTGGGAGTAACAGCTCCATACAATTTCTTCACTGCATGCCCAGCGCTGTTCCTGGCCTAGAGTCAAGGTGGCAGTATCAGCTTTTATGGCGCTAGATACAGGCTTTGGAGAAAGAGAGCTTTGGATCAGGGCATGTGATTTATTGGTGACATTTCAGTTTGTGTAAAAATATTTGAAGACCACCTTTTAATATTTCAAACTTCTAATGAAATACTTTCTGCACCACTGACACTGAATTTCTCTTGGGTGCTTACTGTTGATTTGGCTAATGTCCTTGTGTCCGGCTAGAATGTTTTATTCTATATGTTGTACAGCAAGTAAATCACCACATTTGGATTATTGAGAATAATAGTTTCAAAATTATTCTTCATTTTTTAAGTTACTGCTGAAAAACATATTTACATTTCCAGTGCAACTTCTTTTCCTATTCTTTCTGTTCCATTCTTTCTGCTGTTCTGCTTGCATAGATTTATCATTACAAAGAGATAGGCAAAGATTGATTAATGCACAGAAGAAGTGTGAAGGTTACATAACTCCACAGGGTGTGTGAAACTTCATCCTTGAACACTGAGATGGATTGCTCTGAGGTCTCTCTAGGTCAGGGTAATTAGCCCAGGACATCTCCAGTGCACAGCACAGCTAAACTCCCAAAGGTTTATCGGTGTTTTAATTCTAAATTGCCTGAAATCACCATAAGGGGGTGTGCCCAAGGAGCAGCTGAAGCTACCTTGTCTGGATATCATGTACCTAAAGGTAAGCTCCTTTGAGTCCTTATTATTTCTGTGGAAGAATTAAAGCATGAAATCAAGGAGTCTTAAATCTGCCCTGTGAACAAGTAACATGCAGTTAGGCAATAAAGGCACCTAAACTGGCATACTCCTAATGACGATTATACCAATTGTAATCACTTGTGCTGGGAAAGGTATGTGTGTATCACAGAAAACTTGTAACAGAAGAATGCTAATCTGTAGTCCAAACAATTATATTCACCCCTCCCCCTCTAAAGTTGTTGTTCTACTAGAACATGGAGCAGAACCAATGTTAAAGGTAAATTACATGTACCTAGTGAATTGAATATGAAAGAATACAAACCCCAGTACTATTTTATTAGACAATGTATACAGCTGTTGGCTCATTGAGTTTAAGGAAACTTTTATAAGATGCTGTCTTTTCATCCCCCCCCCACTGTTCTAATTCTGCCCTTTCCTTTCCATGCTACAAAGTTATCAATGCTTGGTGAGTGGCTTTCTCTCCTATTCAGAGTAGAATGCAATGGTGTGTTTTCCTTTTTACATGGTAGATGACTCTATTACAGTGTTCCAAGAACTGAAGGATCTCTTAAAGAAGAATGCCACTGTGGAATCATTTATTGAATGGCTGGATACTGTGGTTGAGCAAAGAGTTATCAAGGTAAGCATAAACAACTTCCTTCACACACAGAAACACAACCAGTGGCATCAGTGCAACTTTCTAGGCCAAGGGGAAGTATGTGTGAATAGTCCACCTGTGGCTCTTTCCCATTTGATCAGCATCCTTTGTGCCAGTCAGCTGCCTATCAGTTCCGCATGACTGACTGCACTGGTTTGCTTGCTTAATTCACACATGCTTCTCAGTGGCATGAATACATAAAGGGGAAAGAGAGCCTCTATAAGACCATAGCTACTGTTTGGGAAGGTCTGGTGTATTACCTTAATGCAAGAACACACAGAAATCCTGGACAAAGAGTGCAGGAATCATTTTACTTTATTGAAATAATTGTTTAAATAAAGTATATGCCTTCTTTTTGCCCCAGTGGGACATGTGAAAGAGCTTAGGATGTGTGATTGTTTGAAACAACACATTAAACAATGTTAAAAGGCAGCAGCACCAAAACTAAAATAAGAACCATATTGAAGGGCAGAGGTATGTTAGTGAGTCAATATTCTGTACATATTTGTGCATTACTTCATCCACTGTGAAGATGAAACTCATCAAGTGTATACTTTTATATGAACAAGCATTCACCTGTATCAGGAACTAAAATCCATCTCTGAATATACATCAAGCTGCTCATCATTTCACAATTCAAAGGATATTCAAATTCCTAGTTTCACATGCAAATTGAAGTCACAAAGATTTATGAACTGAAACATAGGTAACTGAACTACCACAAATTAAAATGGGTTTCTCAAAACCGTTGAGCTAATCTTGGGATAATAGCTATTAACCTGAGGAAGCGGGGGAAGGACCCAATTGCCCACCATTCACATCTGTTACAGAACATTGTTCTAGGGCAAACAGGTATAGTTTCCAGTGTTTTCCTCCCACGTTTGGTAAAAAAAGCCAAACAATTTACTATATGAGTCAAGAGTAAGTGGTAATGATTTACAGAACACGTAATCCTTCCATTGCTCTCTGCCTTCTGTTCACTTAAAAGTGCAGGGCCTCTGTGTCACACCAAATGGCCTTTTTTTGTTTGCTGTTTGAGAAAGTGGAAGCTTCAAGTTGGCGAGCCCTGGTAGGGAAGCGAGTTTGAGGACGTCATCTGTCATGATACACAAACAAGTAAAAGAACACAATGCATGTGCTGAGGAGATTCAGAGGGTTATATTTAAAAAAAAATAGTGGTCAGGTTCATTGTTGAGCGGCCTCGTGGGAATATTATTATTATTATTATTATTATTATTAATAATAATAATAATAATAATAATAATA